TGAATTGACCTGACTCGTGGACAGAGAAATTGTCTCTTTCTCCATGCTTGCACACGCAGACCTTGACCCAGCTGGTGAGCCTGCTTAGCAAGGGGCCAATTAGTCATAAATGCTGGCTTTCATTATGTGGATATTTCTTCTTTTGAAATGAGACCCAGGCTGCCAACTCGCAGCGTTTCACGGGATAATTTCACTCAGTATCGAGTGGGCAGCAGCGCTCCCTCATTGCAGCAGGGATGGCTGTGCATCGATGACGGTGCTGGAAAGCCCTCGCTGGTGCCCTGACTCATGGTTTTCATGACCTTGAGCTTGTCCTCAGCTGCTTTTCGCCAAAGGAGAGGAAGTGTGTTGCTCAACATAGCTCAGGCTTCTCTCCCAAACATCATCACAAGGGTGAGAAGGGCAGGCAGGGACCATGGCCAACACTCTGACAACCGCAGGGTGAACAGCAGTGAAACAGCCGCTGATGGACAGTGGGACAAATTAAGTCAGCCAGCACTGGCTCTGCTGTAGGGAAAGGTCAGCACCTCCAGCAGAGTTTTGATCACTGCAAAAGCTACCCAGTGCTGAGTCTCAGCTGTGCTAGAGGTGTCTAGAGGGTCTGAGAATCGCAGCCCAGGGCTGGCTGCTATGGGGAGGCAGAAGCCATGCCAGGCATCCTGGGTGCTTATCCCCCATGGCTGGGCACACTGACTTGTCTCCTCACTGCTCTTATCTGCAGCCTGTCTAGCAGCCACAGGTATTCTTGAGTCCGGAAAATTTCTGAATGCAAAGATTACACCTAAAGGGTTTCATGAGAAAAAAAAAAAAAAAAAAAAAAAAGAATCTGAGCTCTCTTTGCTGAGGCCAAGCTGTTGTCAGCTAAAAGAAAATGTTTTCTCTTTGTGTTTGGACAGTTTAACTGATTTATTTCTCCCTCCTTTCCCTCCCCCTCCTTGGAAGAAGGTTGTAGGGATTTCCACAAAATTCATTTGGAGGAGCCAAGGCTTCAACACCAGCAGTTTTTAGTCAGACCATTGGAATGATCAATAAATCGGCACCGACTGATCTCAGAGTCTGAGGATGTCTATGAGGCGCAAGCAGCTCTTTTAGGTAAGCTGGAGCAAGTGAGTAAGTCCAGTAGCTCTGGAGCCAAACCCTAAAGTGGATGCAAAATCATATGGGGAGCCAGTGCTGTGATTTTCAGTACAGGGGTGATGTAATGATTGAGTACAGTTCAAGTAAGTAATCGAGTCATCTGTTCGCAATTTTGAATTATGGCTGATGCAGCCTCTGCCTGCAAGCCAGCAAAAAGAGAGTGAGAATTACAGTTATTGAGTCAAGCCAAAGGCAGGGATCAGCATCTTGGCATCAGCTTGGGGAAGTGGTGGGGGTGGGGGTGTGCAATTCGACATGCAACTTGGGGTCTAGCATGAGCCTGAAATTTCAGAGACAGTTGGGATCTGAAGAAAAGATGGTAGATGGACAGTGTACTGAGAGGTAGGGACACCTATGTCTGATCATTGCATCAAAGAAGAGGAGAGGCATCAATCCTGAGTACAAGTACCCAAATCTGAATCCATACCACCCAAGACAACTACTTTGAACACATACTCATCTGTGGTGTTTGAATTCTACTTAAGAAAATTTAGAGCCATCCAGGGCCTGACCTTTAGCAAACCACAAAGGCAACCCATAAACCACAAGGCTGGAATCAGCTAGAGAGGACAAGTAAATCCAACATATTAGCATAGACTTTCAACTGCAGCTGGTAACCAGGGCTATTACAAATGGGAGACGTACCAGTAGCATCTATGTAAGATCTGAGAGTGTAAAGCTGGTTTCAGTAAGGGCTCCACTGAGATCATCACCCAAAAGGGGGAATAACACAGCATGATGTTTAATAATAGTAAGTGGCTGACTTCACCGCCAGGCGGAAACAAAATATTTTTAAGTGTCAGAAACCATAAAAATATGACATGATTCATCTTAAAACAAACAGTTGCTCATGTGAATCTTAGAGCAGAGGATACATGGAAAGTCCCAAGATGATGCAATCTCCAGAGTGCTGTTTTGGGGGCAAAAAGCACATATTATGAGCTAAGCGTTGTAGGGCCTGTTCAGCTGAAGACCTATTGGGACTGGGATACTAAAAGATGTACTAGTAATTGGGAAACTAAATCTCCCCCTCAAAATCAATACCAGAGTAGGTTTTTTTGACAAGATGAATACATTCCCCATACGGTGTATATCTGAGGGATTATCCGCTAATCATGGAAGATCTTTGGGCATTGAGCAAAACTAACAAATAATTCATTGCACTAGTCATTTATATGAAACCTGCAGTTTTCACTGAAGGTTATATTTTTCCCACTCTGAGTTCTAAGCTGACTACAAAGAATAAGAAGATTAAAACCTCTCTCTTGAAATTTTTGCATAGAAACACTATACTTTAAAATATTTCAACTGTTTGTCAAATAGTGTTATGCATAATTAAGCCCTGAGGTTGCTGCCTTTCATGCACAGAGAAATGATGCATTATACCTTTTGTATGGGTATCTAGTGACCTCTTATTCATGCTAGGGAGAAAGCGGTTACTTAAAGCTGTAATGTGCTTGTAATGATCTTTTGTGTTTGCTGTGGCTGTTTTATCTGGCTCATCAGAGACTTACATGTATTTTAAGTCTCACAGTGATTCAGTGGAATTATGTTGACTTTATAGTCATATCTGCATATTTTAAGGGTACTCGGGTTGGTAGGTATAATACCAGCTGTAGCATTTACCCCCATAACTGAGTTCAGTAATTGAAATACATATTCCTGAAAATCATCTTGTTTTGAAGATGTTATTCCTATCTGATATTTACTTGGTGGTCTTTTTTTTGAATTCTGAAAAACTTCTAGGAACAATAATCATCTATTTGTCCAATTATTTGCATTAAGACTAGTCACTCCACAAGTTAAACCTGGTTTCCAAAGGTTTTGTATCTCATGTTGATTGACTTTTAAACTCATTTGCACTGAGGATGAATATAAACTAATCCTGTATTAGACATCAGATAACCCATACAACAACAAACCAGTGGTGTGGGTTGCACGTTTTCTGATGTATTCTAAATCAGGAACGCTGGCTGAAGCCTTTGAACAATCGGCACATCTATATCTACCATCCTCTACATGGAGTCTTAGGTATCTAAAAAAAGCTGGGCTCACAATGCAGTCTTTTCTTCTTTGGGAGAATTAAGAGGCCTTTCCTCCTGCATTTAACCACCTTTTTATTTTATTTTTTTTTTTTTTTTTAAATTACAAAGATGCAATACATCTAAGACATCTGATTTACTATAAAGTTTGGCTGAAATGGCTAAAAAAACTCAGTGTGTAGATTGTCAGGTAGGGAAACACAGACAATGACTCAGTATGTCTGAGTGAGCCTCTCTCCCTAGGAAGGATTGGTTTTGTCTGAAGAAAACTCTCATGGCATTACTTATGACATTTTGCAGCCTGGTAGGTCCAAGTCTGGAATGTTGTTACTGCAATTACAGGTATCTGGATCCAAGCCCCAGTTTTGAGGTAGAGGCTCACACAAAGTGCTGCCTTGCACTTTAGTTTTCTATTTGGTATCTGAAATGTGCCAGCCTTCACCCCTTTTACTAATTAAATTAATTTAATTCACTTAAAAAGTCTCTGGTTTCTCCTAATCCCCATTATGAAAACTCTGGATATTCTCTTTATCATGCTACATCCTTGGTCTTACTGTATTTGGATCCTTCTCCAGAGCCTAAGCAAAACAAGCTTAAAGAGCAAGAGGATCTCTTTGCGGATGAATCTTCCCTGTTTTGACATAAGCCAGGAGTGACTCTGTTTATCATCAGTTTCAAAGACTTCTTGGTAAGGACATGCAATCTAAAAATACTAGGGACCAAGATAAATCTGGACAGCTTTTAATTGGGATCAGGAAGGAGTGGTTACAACCTTTCCAGTAGTGTGGAGGTAGAGGCTTAAGACCCCAGCTTGGCCACTTGATGTGATATGGAACTTTACTTTACTGCTTGGTATCAAATACATCCCACATTGTTTCATCTGTCCTTTTTAAGCATTTATACTGCATTCATTCCCACATGACTTGAGTGCTGATAATGTGTTTCCTGTGTGTTTTGTTTCCTTCAAAAGAAAGGCTGTGATGCTTGCCTTTCTCGTGGAGACAGAGGTTGGAGGACAAGGGGGTTGAATTTCGTTATTTCATGTTGATACTCAGCTGCCAAACAACACTTCATTGAAATAATGCTTATATCATAAGGAAAGTCCATATTTCATGTATGTTTTACTTAAACAGAAGATAATTTATGAAAGAAAAACACTATTAGAGCAGAATTCCTCTACCAGGTTGTGCAGTCCTGCTTCTCCAAGCACTTTCCCTGATGCATGTCAGCTAGGATCTGGGTGGTGAGCTTGCATTATGCCTTGGAAAGAGGACAAATTCGATGATACTTTACAGACGCTGGTTACTTCAGTCCATCTTAGTGTTTAAATCTTTGCTTCATCATATTTGAGTGACTTTTTCAGACTTTTTTTGACTCAAACTACTCATCTGTATTGACAATTCTCTCTTTTCCCCTCCAGCTACCCCATTGAAAGAAAACCCTAATTTCCCCACAGCAAGCCTCACTGTCAACATGTTATGCATTGTTCTCCTTCAGGGTGAGCAAAAATCAAGTCAGAGGCAAATCTGACTAATCTCTCCTGAAACTGTGAAATCAGTGAAAAAAATTTCAGTTGGGTACAATTTCAGCATTGTACCCGTGGGCCAGCCACAGTTTTTAAAAGCGCCTTCAGAGCTACCCAAAGATAGTGTTGCAGTCATTAATGTCACTGATATTGTTGCCTGAAATAGTTTCTTTATGCCGCAGTGGACAATGAATTCCTTCTTATCCCATTGTTTTCAGAGCTACTGTGTTTGGGACGTTCCAGGACTGCTGTAAATTGGTTCAATTCTTTTCTGACATGTCACTCACTAAATGTTCAGGGAGCGTTTCTCTAATCCTGTCCAGATGAGCTGTGGATTTCAAGAGGTTTCTATTTTTGGATGTAGGCTTCTGCCTATATGCTACTGTTGGGCTCAAGTTCATTCAGAGGAATCACATTAGCGGGTATGTAGATTTATTTCTTTGCTTCTGCTGAATGTGAGCTGAAATTGTTTGGGTTTGCCAATTGCCTTTCCTGCACAGGGGGATCAATGTCCTTCCTTTGCATTTTTCATAAATTGGAGTTCCGTTCTGATGAATCAGAGCTTGATTTTTATTAGTTTTTCATAGGGGCTGCTTCCTCCTGCCACCACTTAATTCAGTGGGAATTTTTATTATTTCCAGTTCTTTAACAGCAGCATATTGGGAACTCAGACGGGATTGGAAACTCTCTGTATTCACAGGGCAACACGCTGAGACAGTTTCTGCTTCAGAAGTTAAGATGTTGGAAGAAAAATCATATATGAAATAGGAGAAAAATAGTATATTCCCCTTAATACAGGTGGACACATAGACCTAGAATGACTGATATACTTGATGTCACCCAGAAAGTCTGCTGCACAGCTTCCCACTGGACATCTTCCAAGTTTCAGTGTGACACCTGACATCAACTTTTCTTGTGTCTGTGGATAAATTTCAGATTTAAAATTAAGAATCATGATCCAGCAGTACAAAGTATGAACTGAACCAAACTCAAGTGGAAATATCAGCCAATTAATATTTTTGATTGACATGCTCTAACACAATACCCTACTGTCAATTGTATATAGAGCATCACTGGTTTCTCTCCATAAGATGAGCTTTTTTGCAAAATTTTAGATGAAATTATTCTTAGAGTAATGTCAGAGGAAAAAGACATTGTTATGCTGACTTGAAAAAAAAAAAAACAAAAAACAACCAAACACAAAAACAACCCAACCAAAACAGCTATTTTGTTGAATCTCCAGTAGATATGGTCTGTGGAGCAAAGATTTGGCACAGGAGGAGCAGATGCCCTGAAGTCAGAGTTTGGATTTAGCAGGTCTGGTGAAAATCCATCCAAGTTTGGCAAATGTCTCTGAAAAGCTCATTTGGGGGCTGCTCATCTATTCAGTAGAAGCTTGTTAGGACTGAGGCACTTGGTTTTTCCAGAGTGCTTCTACACTGACCATAATCCAGCCCGGATCTACAATGGAAGACTGTGATTGTCTCATCAATTGCACCTCCCTTATGGAGTCTAATTCAGTGACATGTGGAAGAGCTGAAAGATTGTAATTACTATGCTTTAAATACTCACCATCCTAGTATCATACAGAGCACAGCCTCACAGTAATTTGTCTTAATCTGAAGGTGAGAATCCTGCCAACATAAAGAAGAGTCTGGAAGAAGGGATCGAAGGACTTGTAGAAAAGTTGTGTGGAGTACAGTGGGATGGAGCTCCAGGCTTTGAGACAAGAGTGACAACCAGAAAAGGTGGGGATGACTGGGGTTAAGAAGTTTGTTTGGGTCAGTAGAAAACTCTATGCTTGGTGTTATCGAGGAAAACAAAGCTCTGTAATGGATATAATTGTCCCTGAATTATTCTGTGTGCTTCAGCTGCTGCTAAAGATTAGTTTGCTCTGATGTATAACAGCAGGTTTTATTTATTTCAGGGTCAGAGTGAATACTTCACACTCTTGTAGTGCCTTCTGTGATATCCATCACACTGGTATCCAAATATTTCATTAACATTAAAGTTCTTTAAGGTCTTTACAATGCTCCTGTGAAGAGGGAAGAAACTGGAGCAAAGAAAAATCTGCCTCAAAGTAGACCATCATTTCAGATGCCCAGTTACTGGTATTTGTATCCTGGTTTTGCAGGGATTACAGGAGGCCAATTTAAATTGTATTATTATGAATTTAAAAGCATTTCATCAGCTTCAGAAAATATCTTAAAGTTTTAATTAGTTAATATTTTGGGTACTTTTAAAGTTACCCAAATCTTATTCTATGTCCTTTTAGCAAATAAAAGAAATTACAAAATCTGCACATGAAGTACTGGTCCAAATCAAGGCTTGGAACAAATTACAGTACTCTTTGTACAGTTGGAGCCTGAGGAGTAAGCATGAGAATCTGAACATATTCTTGCTGACATTAAATCTTTAACCTAAATCATCAGGCCTCCAACTCATCAGCTAGAAAAGTAGTAAAAGGGAGGATGAGGAAAAGTGACCTATATTCTTCTTCATTTCCCTTATGACTCCAGTGTACTCTCAAGGTGTTCCAAGCCAGGGAGGAAAAGAAGATATTTTTTCATTACAGTAATTGTTTTAAGACCAAAAGAATCTTACACACACTGCTCTGTTCTGGATGAGAAAACGTTCTCAAGATATGATGTCAAGAAACAAGACTGTGATTTAAGTAGAAATTTTAGGAGAAAGTTAGAAGGCAGAAGACAGTGTGGTAGAGGACGTGGCCCAGAAGTGGGAATCCGACACTGAGTTCTGCTCTCAGATCTCCCAACACTTTGGTGCACATCACGTTCTTTCCTTCAGTCACCAGTTCTCCTGGAAACCACAAACTACAGGATAGGAACATGAATAGTGTCTGGGAATAAATAAAAAACATTGAAAATCAGTTCAAATCTGGGCAAACCTGGGTGAAACTCCATTACCAGAACTTTCATTTTTGAGGAGACTGGGGAGCCATATTCAGATAGATGCTGATGTATTATTCCTATTAACTGCATCAGAAGCAAGGCTCTGGATTTTCTCTGATGACAGATAGTCTGAAGTACTCTTTTCTCCCTTAGCATAGATGCCTCAAAGAAGCCTTGTGGCTCACCATCAATTAAGATGCTGTAGTCAACTCCCCACTGCAGAAGACCAATTTAAATCAACATTGGAAGTGAATCTTGGATGTCAACTAATGGAATGATCTACAAAAAAAGTTATTAATTTGTTTATTTTTTTTCAACCCAAAGCAAATTTGTAAAAGCAGCAGAGGTTCATTCAGACTCGAAGACACTAAATATTTGTGAGCAATCAGAATTACAGAATTTTCCAAACAGCTTTAGTATAGGAAAAAGAAAGTTGGGAATAGAAAGACTTGCACAAATACACATGTGCCAGTAATGCCTTTTTAGAGGAACTGGGCTCCTCAGCATAAGACAAGTTTGCTCTTCTCCATCAGCAGTTTCTCTTCCTCCTTGCTTAGTTTAGGAAATGAGTCTCCAATGTTTTGTTTTCTTTTCTTCCAGAAATCAGACAACTAAATCATAAGCACATGGTCAATGAAAAGAGTTGCTGACATGCAAGTACAGATGAACAGGCTGGACCTCCATCCTTGGAACTACATCCTTGGAATTACAAGGTGATCCAGTGGGACCTACTGAGGTATTTTGGCTGTGATCTGATATGCTACTTCTGCATCAAGGCCTGGTCCCTTTCACTGTGGCTTGACTGATTATACTGCTAAATTATTAGATGGTCCCAGCAGAACTTAGGCCAACTATCACTCAGCCAGGCAACTCCCAAGACACAGCTCAAGACTTGACAAAATCCAAAACTCTCTCCCAGCTGGCTGCTCTATGCCTATCCATAGTTGCTGCCAGATTATTCAGCCATCCAGTATAGTGCCATCTTGGCACATACAGAAGCAGCATAGTGATGATATTTACAAGGCCTGTACAATCCACCTCCCTTTCTTGAAGCCCATGGGTCCTTATAGCTCAAGATATTGCGACCACACCTAAAACCCATACCTTTCTCTGAGATGATTGCTACCTCTAGCACAACCCACTTGGCTGAAAAGCAGGCTCTCAGATGTACGCTTCCCTCTTGTATCACTGGCTGTAGTCACTAAACAAGGGGATTATGCTTAAGTTGTTTAGGTGCCTTCATAAGGATGCAGGTGTCCCTGTTACTTAGTGTATCTGGAGTTACTTCCAGGAAGCACCATCTGGAGCAGATGCTGAAACTGGATGCTCAGCCTCATCCTTGGAAGTAGGGTGTCTGTCTTTTCATGGACTATAGGGAGTGTTTAGGAAGGACAACTGCCCAGAATAGACAGCTACAGTAGCCGTTTTACACTGTGCTGTATAAATACTGCTCAAATAGTGGGTTTGGGTAAAGCTGAGCTCAGCACATCTGCTAGTGAGCAGTCTGTGGTAGATCTGGTGTTTTCCATGCTCACTGCACCCAAACAGTACTGCAAATATATATGTATATAAACAATTATTTGTACATGAGCTCATTCTAGGATGGAGGGCTGGGCTACATATTAGATGAATAGTAGTTTAGACCTATTTTTCAAATGAAGTCTTGAACTTCTGCCAGCTCATACCATTTGAGAATTTGGCCTTCCAAAAAAAAAAAATGTTTTAAGAATGGCCTGACTGCAGTCCCATATAAAATCAAAGGTTTGTGTCTATCATGTGAACTGAAGTATGGAGGAGGGCAGTATTCAAGAGCAGTTGGGCAGTATTTGCAGCTTCTGCACTGGTGGGAGATGAGGCCAGGTCTCTACATATTGTGCATATACACTCTCTCCCCATATCACTTCTATCTCTCAGTGACCAGAAATTAATACAGGTGGCAGTAAGCTATAAGGAAAATTCTGAAACCCAGAAATGAGTAAGTTCCCTCCTTGAGCCAGTGTCTTTGTGTGGGCTACATATTGCATATGTATTTTCTGAGGCAGACTCAGATTCCTTTGAGCTTGGCACATTCTGGTTAAGATGAACTCATCATCCAAATGTTGACACAAAATCTGACTACACCATATACCATGGCCCTATGCCACCTCCAGCTGGCCTGGGGCTGTGCTGGCATTGGCTTTGGTTACTTAAGTTAAGACAGCTATAGAAGAGGGAAGGGCAAAGGGTGCCTGAGGTGGGTTTACCTGGCATCCCAGCTGGAGGAAGTGGCCTGCATTCTTCAGCAGAATAACGAGAGAGGGATGAGTAGAGGGGAATAAAATAAATAAGGCAAGCCAATGGTGTCATTAAAAAGAGGATATATCACGTTTACCATGAGAGCATGTGACTCAGACATCCAGACATGAACATTCCTGCAAAGCCCAAAATGCACACATGGAACCAAATGTTTTTGGCTTCCCAGAATGGCTTAATTTTATGATTCCGTGACTCATTAGAAAAAGCAAAGTCCCTAGACATGCTGTGTCAAGACCCAGTAAACACCAGTTACTGGTGAGGACACATGAGGACAAAAGAGCAGGTGAGGGATGGAGGGATGGAGGGGGAGAATGAAGTAACAGGACTCTTGGCCTCTTACCCCCCCTTTCTCCTTCTAGTGGTTTTGTAAACTTGTTTCCCTCTCTTCCTTTCTTTATTTTTTTAAGATTGGAGTGGAGGGGTTAACAGAGGTCATGTTAGTTTAAAAAATTATGGTTAACCTTACAAGCTGGGTTGCCTTAGGTCACAGTGATACAATTCCCCTCCCTTCTCCTGTGCAGCGGTGGTTCACAGAAATTCCTCTAACGTGGGGAAAGACGGGGCCTGCCAAGGCTATGAGCAACGCAGAACAGACTTACCTGTTTTTATGCACTGCTTAACTAATTATATTAAAAAGAAACAGCCAAGTTGGAACAACTACCTTTTTCTTCAAGGAGGAACATTTTCCCCTTTTCCTTTTTCCCCACGTCCCCCTTCTCCCCTCCTCCGTCCCCTTGGTTTTTTTTTTTCCCCTCCATTGCTTGGCTTGGCATTTGAAACAGGTTCTCGATATCCGACACCTCTTGAAAGTGTAGTTTGGCAAACAGGAATCCAGTTTGGCTCCAGAAGGGCTCTGCACAGGGCTCACTGTGAAAACACCTGGGTGTCTCTTACGCCTCTAAGAACCAGTCCTGCTTCTGTACAAATAACAGCCGCCTGCTCCCTTCCCCCAGCCCCTGCTCTCCTTTCAAAATAAAAATAAATAAATAAATAAATAAATAAAATCCTGGCACTGTTTTTGTAAAAAACAGGTGGTTTGAGGGCGCTGTGGAAGGGGATGAAGGCCATCTCAATGACAACGTGCAAAAATCCTGTGCAGAGAGGGTTTTGATTGCAGCACGTACATCTGCGATTCATTTTCCCAAGCTCAGGACAAATTAAGAATCTCCCAGCAATTAGGGGAGAAAGCTTCAAAGTGCAATCAGCAGTTCTTACAAGAATATGTGTTGGTCTTTGAGGGAGGCTAATCCTGCTGCCTGCACTAGGCTTCTCTCTGCAGTATGTATTTTCCAAGGCCAAAATTTTGGCCTGCTTTTCAGTCACACCATATAAAATAACAAACACGCAGTCTAAGGAAAACAATTTTTAAGACACAGTGGAACCCACTTTAATGAAGAAAACTGTTAAATGCATAAAAACCCCATGTGCCAATGGATAAATGTGCTGGAAGTGTGAACTGTTAAACCAACAAAATTGTTAACACATCATACTGCTGGGCAAAAAAATAAAATAAAAAAATATAAAAAGGGAGTGAAATGGTTTTCTAACATGCAACCCACTTTGCCTTTATTGTTCACATTCCTGCTGACATAAAGTTTCCTGATTTGTCCCCTGGGTCCAGAAATATGGCAAGAGCGGGAACATTAATTGTATTTGCCCCCTTTAAACCGCCCTCCCTGCTTTTCAGCTCACCGTGGCCAAGAATAGCTTCATGGAATGGGGAGAGTTTGCCCTTTTTTATTCAGGGTGATGAGCGAACAAGTTCACATGGATTTTATTTTTTTTTCAAACTGGTATAAAACTTTAAACTATGCCTGAACATCTTTTTTCTATATCTGTGGGGAAAATTAGGACTAGTTTTGTGTTTGCTGTTTCTTAAATTTCTTTAGTCCCTCCATATTCCTGGTTTTCTTTGGGGTCGATGCTGAAATGAGTCTGTTCCTGTGGTCTTGCTACTCCCTCCAAAGATGAGGAGCTCTTGGAGCTGATCTTGTGAAAGCCCTGAAAGCAACCGCTTTGATAAGTGTCCAACCCTGCGGCCATGCTGGCATAGTGGAACCTGGATTCCTGCCTCACTCTGAAACGTGAGAAACTAAATATCAGTCCATTGAACTTATCTTCATCTGACTCCTGAATTACATGATGTTCACATTTCTGCAGGTGGTCAAAATTTTCAACCAAAATGTGATTTCCACAAAAGGTAGGGTTTGGTCAAAAATTAAGATTTTCTGTGGAAAAAAATAAAAAAGATCTACCAAACCAAGTATTTACTGAGTGCTGAACATTTTTATCATAAACTTTTCCAAAACTAGAAGAAGGGTCTGCAGAACAGAATAGGCTGATGTTTCTTCTTTTTATATTTTCTTTAATGAGAAAATAAGAAAAAAAAAAAAAAAAAAAAAAAAAGCATAGCAAATTCAAAAGAAAATGTAAAAGTTAATAAAAATACTCATAAGGAAAGATTTTAAAACATTAATTGTCATTTCATAAAATAATTCTTAAAATTGTAGCATCTGCATGGGGCAACTGTTCAGTTAAGCTCTGTGCTGCTGTTTGCCTGTCCCAGGAGTCTTTTAGGTGCTGCTCTATGAACACAGGTATGAAAGTGCATTTGTGATGACTAAACTCCAACCGTGAACTGTGACAATGAGGAGATTATTCCTGTAGTTCAGAATGTTCTCATTTTCTTCGTTTTCCTGTGTCCCTTGCAAAATAACATGAGGTCGTGCCTGGCTTGAGGATGACTCCTCTTTTTCTTGGCACTTGCTGATTTTTAGACTGATGTTTGCAAAGAAATTCCAGTCCCTGAGGGCCACTAAATATGTATTTCATTGCAGAATCTCCACAGGGCAGGTTTGCACCTTCAATGTGCTTGGATTTCTTGCTCCTAAGCAGAGTCAGTGGCTGTGTCATGTACTTGAGACCACTTTAGACACAAGATGATAAACTTAAACCAGTGCCAAGTTTTGTTGTAGTTAAGCAAAAGAGTTAAGTTCTTTGTTACAAAAAAGGAAACAAAACTGCAACAGAATATTATGAACCTTAAAATCCAACACTGGCCTCTTCACTATTACACGTTTAGAGAATCCCTGAGGTCCTTACTCAACAGCTAAAGGTCATCCCAGCTGCCCCCCACCTGTAAGGTATGGTTTTCTAGAGTGCACTGAGATCTGATTCTTTTTTCCCAGTTGCAGCTGAAGACCATCAGGGTATCATTGTGATAAAATCAACACAAGTAATTCATAGGCTTCTGTCACACTCTCCATTTTGCCATTGCCCAGGTGTATTTTTTAAACACTTTTGTTAATTAATTTCTGTAACAGAAGTTTTGGTCTGTCCTGGTGTTTATGAGCTGCAGACAAAGTGTTGTTTCAGAGTCATTTAAGCCTGACTTTGAAATGAGCCCTTTGAGATGTGTGGCTGCCCATGGGAGCTCTCTTT